CGCACTGCCCCTCTGTGTGCGTGCGGGGCCTCCTGGGAGAGGCCCTCGCGCGGCAGAGGGGCCGGGTTCTCGCTCGCCTCGGGGTGCTGTGCCGAGGGCACTCCGGGAGAGGTCTTGAGTGGGAGCTGCGGAGCTTGGGGGAGCTGCGGAGCTCCGCACGGCCTCCTCGCACCGGCGCTGGGCCCTCCGCCGCGGCGGCCCGGCGCAGATCCGAGAGAAGTCCGCGCGGAGCTCCGACCGCTTGTGCGCATCCATGCAGAGGGGGGGCCCATGATGCCAAGAAGCACCCGGCCCCTCCTCCTCCTCCTCCTCGTCCTTCTCCTCCGCCCCCCGCCCCCCACCCGCCCCCCCCTTTCTTTTCTTTTTCTTTTTTTTTTTTTTCCGCCTTGCTCCTTTTTTCCTTCTTTTTCCTCTATTTGTTTTTTTCGTTTTTCTCCTTTTTGCTTTCCTTTTCTTCTTCTCTTTTTTTTTCTCTTTTTTATTTCTTTTTTTTTTTTTCTCCGCTTTTTTTTTTTTTTTTCTCCTCCTTCTCTTTTTTCTTTTTTTTCTATTTTCTTTTTTTTTTCTCTTTTTTTTTTTTTCTTTTTCCTCCTCCTCCGCCTCTGCTCCTCCTCCTCCTCCTCCTCCTCCTCCCCCTCCTCCTCCTCCTGCTCCTCCTCCTCCCCCTCCTCCCCTTCCCTGTGCGCGCCGCAGGGGGATCCAGGGTCGGGCTCCAGCCCTGGAGGGCTACAGTGGGGGCCCATGCCACGAAGCACCCCGCTCGCCTCCAGGGTGCCCTGGGTTTCTCGGGTTTTGCTGTGGGAGGCGTGGCGTCCCACAGCACCCACACCCCAAATCGAGGGACGTCCCGGGGTCTCAGGGTTGGGTTTCTCGTGGAAGGTTTCTTGTAGACTGGCCTCCACTGTGCTCATCTATAGTGCAGCCACGCGCAGAGGGGGGACGGGGGGAGCGGGGGAGGGCTTCTCAGAAGCACCCCTGCTTTTCTCAGGAGGCGCGTCGCCTTCTCTATAGAGGTAAAGCTGGCGCCTTCTGAGGAGCAGCCTCCTTCTAAGAGGCCCTCCCCCCTCCCTCCACCCCCTGGTGCGCGCCGCCGAGTAGCCTTATGTCGGGCGTGTCTCCCTACAGGGGGATTTTCGACGAAAAATTAAAAATACCCCATGAATACACCAAACAAGATTTTAAACAAAAAAGTATCCGACTATGTTTTGGACTACGTTTGGCTACTCTTGGGGTATTTTTTATTTCTCGTCGAAAATCCCCCGGTAGGGGGACAGGCCCGACTTGAGAGCAGTCCTTGGCTCCTCCAGGCACGCGCGTTCGCGCGTGGGGCCCGAGGCTCCGGGCCTCCCGAACGGGGGCTCCGCGCGGGCGGGGTCGGAGGAGCGCGCCGCGTCGCCGCGGCATCGGCAGTGCGGCTCGACGTTGAGCAAGAAAACACACACACGCACGCACGCACGCACGCACGCACGCACGCACGCACGCACGCACGCACGCACGCACGCACGCACGCACACACACACACACACCCACGCACGCACGCACGCACGCACGCACACACACACACACGCACACACACACACACACACACACACACACACACGCACGCACACACACACACACACACACACACACACACACACACACACACACACACACACACACACACACACACAAACACAACACAAACACAAACACAAACACAAACACAAACACAAACACGAACAAACAAAAACAACAAAACACACACACACATAAAACAAACAAACATGTTTTTGTTGTTTTCTCCACGCCGACGGTGCCGATGTCGGGAGCGGCCAGGTCCTGGCCGCCAGGAGGCCCCCTCCAGGTGCGGCCCCCTCCAGGTGTGGCCCCCTCCAGGGGAGCCCCCTCCGGGCGTGGGCCCCTCCGTGGCTGCCCCAGAGGCGTGGGCCCCCTCCAGGGGACCGCCGCTCGTCGTCCTGCTCGGACGGCCCCGAGGTCCCGAGAAAAGGGCCCCTGGAGGGAAGAGACAGGGCCCAGCCCGCCGTCCCCCTTCCCACGTCCGACGTGCCCCACCTCGGGGGGCGGCAAAAAGGAAGGGTGACTACTAGGGGTGGATACCATTGCGGGGGCCATGATATCTCCCCAGATGTCATGGCCTCCCTGGCCCCCTCCCCTGAGCCGCGCACGTGCCGCCGGCCATGATTTGCGCCCCCCCCTCTTGGACCCCCCTCTTGGCCGCCCCCGTCGATGCGTCGCTGACGCTGGCGATGCATCGAAGATGCGTCGGTGATGCGGCAGGATTTTCCGACCCCATCTACGCGGACCCCATGTAAGAGGTCTCCTCTACAGGCTCCTACTGGGCTGCATCTGTGGCACGCTCTTACCGCTGATCCTCTGGACGTGAGTTAACTCGTTGTGTGGGTCACCCAGTTCAGCTCTACCGGCAGCGCGCAGCCCATGTCGGCCGTCATTGCGCCGCTTCTGTCGTCTCCAAAGCCTTTTGTGGACTGGCACACGTTGGCGCTGACACTCGAAGAAGAAAAAACGCCATAAACAGAAACTGTTGGCGCTCTGCGCGGATTTCTTGGATCCGCCATGGGGCTCCCCAGCGGCGCCCCTCGGCGCCGCCCCTGGCGCGCTCCGCGCGCCAGGTATGGGGTCCAGCGCAGATCCAAGAAATCCGCGCGGAGCGCCAAAAGGGTACAGTAGGGGTCTTGAAGAAGGAACCCTTTTCGTTGGGGAGGGGCTCCGTGTAAGTGTTTCACAGTTTGCCTCGGGACTTCCTTATGTTTTCGATCGGAAATCGAAGTTCAACTTATGGAAAAAAGGGGCCTCGTTCCTTATTTAGGGTTCCTTAGGTCAAGGCCCCGACTGTATGTGCATGGCACGTTTTCTTCCCTCTAAACACACGTCCTGAGGATCATCGATCGTTGGCGTTCCCGGCGGCACGGCCGCGGCGCTCGGCGCGCCCTGGCTGTCGTGGGACCCCATTTCGGGGAGACGTCAGGCTCGAGCAGGCCGGAACTTTGGTTACGTCGGGCGTGTCCCTCTGCAGTGGGGGCATTGAGGAAGGAACCCTCTTCGTTGGGGAGGGGCTCCGCGTTCCTTAGGTGTTTCGCAGCTTGCCTTGGGTTTATCTTGGGTTTTCGATAGGAAATCCAGTTTAACTCATGGACAATAGGGGCCTCGTTCCTTATTTAGGGTTTCTTAGGTCAACGCACCGACTGTACAGGAGGAATATTCAAACATAGTTGTTTGTATTAAACCCCCCAAACAAGTGTCGGGACGATTTTAGCATGTTGCAGAATGTGTGGAGCATGCCTGGACAATGTCTCATTCTTCTTCCAAAGTCCGCCTGTAGGAAGATAGGCCCGACCTGAGATTCGGGTAAGCCGACGCTTTTGTTGGGCGATCGCGTCCTGGAGTTTGACAGTCCAGAGTGGGTCTCGCCATTTTCATGATGGTCCCCCGAACCCGAGCCTTACGTCTCCCCGACCCATGCTGGCCTGCCTGGCGCTCGGCGCCGGGGGCCTGCGCGGGCGCCACGAGCTGGGGCCCCTGGTGGCGGCGTGCGAGCAGGCGCTGCCCCTGGCGAACCTGTGCTTCTGCTCGGAGGTGGGCCAGTCGGGACGACGGCGGCGCTCCTCGTCGGGGAAGCGCTCCTCGTCGGGGAAGCGTAGAGTCGGCCCAGATTTTGTAGCTCGACCCTGCCAAAATTCAAGGGTACCTTCGTGTCCTGCGTCTCACGACCCACGCTTCCTACATTCCTGTGGCAATCAGGCCCTCGGGAGGGTCTTGTGTCCTCTCGCGTGTCCTGTCCAATCGAGTCCGACGGTAAGGACCGAGTTCGCACGGACTCGGGTCTGCCGACGCTTTCTACGGGCCCGTGTCCGAATTTTGATGTGCCATGGTCCCCGCTGCCCCGGCTGGCCGCTTCTGCCTGCTCTACGCGGAACTCCTCCACGTCTGAGCGTCTGAGCGCTCCTCCTCCTCCTCCTCCTCCTCCTCCTCCCTTCCTCCTCCTCCTCCTCTCCTCCTCCTCCCTCCTCCTCTCCTCCTCCTCCTCCTCCTCCTCCTCTCCTCCTCCTCCTCCTCCTCCTCCTCCTCCTCCTCCCCCTCCTCCTCCTCCTCCTCTCCTCCTCCTCCTCCTCCCCTCCTCCTCCTCCTCCTCCTCCTCCCCCTCCTCCTCCTCCTCCCCTCCTCCTCCTCCCCTCCTCCTCCTCCTCCTCCTCCTCCTCGACGTTTCAACCTCCTCCTAAGTACTTCCTCCTCCCCCCGCGCGGCCGCCCTCGTCCTGTTTCTTCCCTCTTGCACGCCGGACAATTCGCCATTCGGTTGCCCCGAATAGCCACACGCTGGAGCGGACTGCCTCTGCCTCGAGGTCGACGAACAAATCCGAATTCTGACCCCAATTTCCGTGGGAAGTTAGCCGAATCTTGCGTTCTTTTCAGGCAGGGAAGACAGACACGATCAGTCGTCGATCCCCAAAAATATAAGAAACTATGGAAAGCGGTAGGGAAGACGAAAATCCAGAGAATGTGAACAAGTATTGGGGTAATTTGGATGTATGTCTATTAGTTTGCATGTCCTTCAGTCTTCCCGACCTTGGCGCCAGCTTTGGGCATAAGGTGACCCAGCATTGGTTTTGACCAGCAAGATGGGACAAAGGTTCGGGTTGCTTCAGGAGGCGAAGAGACATACAGACACAACTGGTCGTCGACCCCCGGGAAAATATGGGAGGAAAATATGGGATGGGGGGGGAACGAACATCCAGAACATATGAAAAATGGAAGTTGTGTGTGTGTTTAGCGGTGTGTGTCCTTGGGCCCTTGCAAAGAAAGAAGACGAGGTTCGAGGTTCCGGGCTCGAGACGGTGTCCTGCCTCTTCTGGCCTCCAGTCCCCCAGGACCATCAAATATTGATCTGGGGTGCAAGATACAAGAGCGCCCTCGAGGGCGCGAAATTATTCGCGCTTCGCGGTTCGGCTCCGATTCCTCGTCCGCTTCTCACCGGGGGGCGGCGCGAGAGCGCGAAGTTAATCGCGCTTCGCGGTTCGGCTCCGATTCCTCATCTTGCGCTTCTCCCCATGGGGGGCGGCGTGAGAGCTCGAAGTGATCCGCGCAGCGCGAAGCGCGAAGCGAGGCGCCCTTGCAGGCTGCACCAGGTGGACCCCAGGAGGTGCCCGGGGGACCAATGTTGGCCGGTTGTGGCCTCGCCCCTCGCCCCTTTTGATCGTTGTTGTGTCCTCCTCCTCTTCCTCTCCTCCTCTCCCTCCTTCTCCTCCTCCTCCTCCTCCTCCCCCTCCTCCTCCTCCTCCTCCTCCTCCTCCTCCTCCTCCTCCTCCTCCTCCTCCTCTCCCTCCTCCTCATCCTCCTCCTCCCCCTCCTTCTCCTCCTCCCCCTCATCATCTCCTCCCTCCTCCCTCCCTCCCCTCCTCCGTCCTCCTCCTTCTCTCCTCCTCCCTCCCTCTCTCCTCCTCCTCCACTTCCCCTCCTCCTCTCCTCCTCCTCTCCTCCTTCTCCTCCTCCTCCTCCCTCCTCCTCCTCCTCCTCCTCCTCTCTCCTCCTCCTCTTCTTCGTCCTCCTACTCCTCCTCCTCCTCCTCCTCCTCCTCTCCTCCTCCTCCCTCCTCCTCTCCTCTCCTCCTCCTTCTCCTCCTCCTCCTCGTCCTCCTCCTCTCCTCCTCCTCCTCCCCTCCTCCTCCTCCCTCCTCCTCCTCCTCCTCCTCCTCCTCCTCCTCCTCCTCCTCCCCGGCCGCATCCTCCTCATCCTCCTCATTATCATCATCCTCCTCGGCCGCCTCCGAGGCTCCCGCCCAGTTCAATGCCGCTCAAAAAACAAGTCCCTGGACCCGCCCCGGGGATCCTCTGGGTCCCTTTGCTTTTCCACACGGACCTGGCCGTGGCGACGGAAGCCTACGGGGGGCCCGGAAGGGACGAGAAACGCCGGGGATGGCCGCCTTTGTCAGGATGCAGTTCCTCAGAAACGAGATTTAGCATCGGCGCTAGATGGGCCTCCTAGATGGGGTCGGAGTGGATGGGGTCGGAGGATAGCGCCGCATCGCCGATGCATCGGCAATGCGGCTCGATGTGGAGCTCGACTTTCTCCGCGCCAATGGTGCCGATGCCATCGCCGACGTCGCCGATGCACCGCCGATGCGGCGCGATCTTCTGACCCCATCTACTTGGACCCCATCTAAGAGGCCTCTAATTTCCGTGGCCGAAAACTTATCAAATCCTCAATCATCCTGCCTACTACATGGGCGTGGTCAAATTTCTGCCGAAGTATGCCACTGCGGCGCTTTTGGGCCCGGTGTGGTGGGATGTTCGAAGATGCAGAAACACACGAGACCAGCTTATCTGACGCCACGTTGTGGTTTCAACGGGCGCACTAACAAGCTGGCATAGTTTACTTGAACACAGGATCGCCTCAGCACCACCGTGACTGTGAGCACCAAAGTGCCCGCGGACACCACAGCGCCTGTGAGCAACAAGACGCATGAACCTGCTTTACGAGTCAATCCCGCACGAGACGCTCACTTCCTATTGTTTCGAGCCGACTTCGAACCTGGTTCGAATGTGTGTTTTGATGTAGTCCCACACGACACGTCCACATGTCTATTGGTTCGAACTTGGTTCGAACTTCGTTTTCGAAGAAGTCCCTCACGAAATGCTTACTTCTCTATGACTACGAACCGACTTTCGACCTGGATATAATTTGTTGCCGAGGAAGTCCCGCACGAAACAACCGCTTTTCTATCGTTTCGAACCGACTTCTATTGTTTCGAACCGATTTTCGAACTCGATTCGAACCTTTCTGTTGGAGGAAGCTCCACCCGGATCGCTGTTTTCTAACCGCCATCCCGTTCAGCTCGATAAGAGTTTACTTGTGGGTGCAGGCCCGAGGTTGCCCGCCCACCGCTGGCACACCTCCACTCACGTCACACTGTGCCAGGCTCGGGGCTCCTAAAGGGACACGTCCAGTCCACGTTGCGCCAGCTTGTCAAGAAGTGGGCGATCTTGTACCACGGCAGTATAATCCCGACTCATCCTGCTTGATCCCCCTCCATCTGGCCCAACCTTGGGGGCAATCTGGGCGAATACGGCCCAATGGCTCCTTGATCGACCTAATACAGATCTTAAGTCCTCTTCCTCACGAAGACCTCCCAGGAGTTGCTTCGTTGCCGCTGTCTCTCGGCGGCGCGTCCGTGGGGGAAGCAAGAGGGCGCAGGCCTCCTCAGGAGGCGGCGGGGCTTCTCAGAAGCCATCCGGCCTTCTGAGAAGCCGCCGCTGTCTTGAGGGAAGGCCTGGGACGCTTCCCAGAACGCCGGAGGACTTCGAGCCGCAATACGATTCTGAATTTCCATGCGTGTCGGGCTTTCCAAAGAAATTCTCGTGCCCAAGAGCTCCAAACACTCGCCCGGCTTCAACACTTCGACCGAAAAGCCTTCCGACAGCGAAACAGACAAAATCGCCCCGGTTGGTCTGGACTTTGCATTTGGCCGGGTACAAATCGAGACCGGCTTTCGCCAGAGAGTCTTTCAACGTCAAGCCCATTCTCTTCATGGAGACCCACAGCTCCTTGATATGAGCGTCTGGTCGTCTGCGACTGCGACGTGTGTGAGGTTTTGGCCAGCGATGCCACGCCCGACGATCGCGCCGTACCCTCGCCTCTTCCATATGCAGCTTACGTCGGATAACATTTTGTCTCACCACCCACCAAACCACCCCAACCCAACTCGAAGGCCCCAATTTATCCTCGATTTCCAGTGGGGGGGGTCGTGGAACATTGAGAAAACACATATGGAACCCGTACCCCCCCACAACCCGAAATTCGGGTCTTCGGGTTGGGTTGGGGTGGTCTGGTAGGTAGTCATTGTCTGACACCAAATCGAACAACACCAGTGATCATGGGCCTCCCTGCTTTGCCCCGCGCTGCACGTCGAGCGCCCTGCTGCCTGCCCCGCCCCACGGAGAAACGTTTCCCTCGCGCCCCGTAGCGGAGCCGTCTCAGAACACGGACTGTAGTAGCAGGAATACAGTAGGGGTCTTGAAGAAGGAACCCTGTTCGTTGGGGAGGGGCTCCGCGTTCCTTAAGTGTTTCGCAGCTTGCCTCAGGTTTTCCTTATGCTTTCGATATGAAATCGACGTTTAACTTATGGAAAAGGGGGCCTCGTTCCTTATTTAGGGTTCCTTAGGTCAAGGCCCCGACTGTATCGTTATCGATCAGAGCTGCAAACAGAGCAGAATGCTGCACACGGGGGACCGACACCGACACCAGAACACGGGGTTGTCAAGCAGCGGCGAAGCGTCCTGGCTCGCCCATGGCCCTACCAAACAATGTTCTAAGTACCTTTGGTGGTTTCCACGGAATGTTCTCAGAACGTGTGTTGTTGAGGTTGTCTTGTTTTAACACATCGGGTTTCTGTTCTAAGAACTTTTTGTTGATCTTGGAACATTTTTGGGTTCTAAGAAATTTCGTGGTAGGACTATAGGAAAGCCAGGACGGTCGGTCCTTGCTCAAGGTTGGGTGCACCGGGGGAGGGTGATCCTGGATTCTGGCGTTGGTGGCGATACCTCGGCCACCCGGGAGGCCCAAACCTTACCGCCATCACCAAGATGGGGATCCGCTCCCCTCGGTGCAGGCACTGCCGAGCTGGGTGCCGGTGCCCACCTCTGGGCCTCCGATCTCGGCCCCTTCAGGGCTCCTTTTTGGGGCACCAGCAGGGTCCCAAAGGGGCCCCGAGGGGCCCCATCGAGGGCCCTCCGCTTCCCCCCCCCCCCCACGCCTGGGCCGCCCCCCCCCCCCGCCACCCGCCCGAGGCCCGCCCCGAGTCTCCAGTGGCCCCCTCCGGCCTTCGTGCTGGCCGGGACCAGCCTGGACCTGCGGCGCTTCGCCGCCGTGCTGCCCACGGCCCTGGGGCTCGCCGGGTGGCGCCTCGCGGCGCTGCGCCTCGGCACCGCGGTGGCCGCCGCGGCGGTCGGCGACGGGGGCTCGCCCGACGCGCCGCGCTACTGGCAGGGCTTCGTCACGCAGGCCGGCATCAGCATGGCCCTGGCCGGCGAGGCCCGACGCGATTCGAAGAAAGAGGAAAAACAGCATCAACATGGACTCTTGTATGGCTCCGATGCCACGGTCCTCTCCTCGTCTTCGCCTCTTTGGGCCTCCTGGGCTCCTGGGATCGAAGAAGAAAGAACACCATAAACAGAAACTCTTGGCGCTCCGCGCCGATTTCTTGGGTCCGCGCTGTGGACCCCCTGGCGGCGCCTCTGGCACCGCCCCTGGCGCGCTCCGCGCGCCAGGGAGGGGGTCCAGCGCGGATCCAAGAAACCCGCGCGGAGCGCCAAAAGTTATGTTTATGGCGTTTTCCTTCCTCTAGCGATTCGACGAAGAAAAAACAGCATTAACATAAGTTCTCGTATGGCCCCGAATGCTGCGGTCCTTTCCTCGCTTTCGCCTTTTCGGGCCTCCTGGGCTCCTGGCAGGCCCTCGTTCGCGAGGCCATACAGACAGAGGTGGGAGCACGGCCATGTGCATCTTGATGTCGTTCCCCAGCCATCCTGTGGTGTTGGGTTCTCGTTTGGGAGAGACAGTGCCCCGCCTGCTTCTCCTTTGTCCTCCTCCTCCCTCCTCCCTCCCATCCTTGCCGCTGCCTTCCGCACGACCATTTCGGAACACCCCTCAAACGCGTCGCGGTCCCATAGGGAGTTCCACCGAAGGCACCAGTGGCAGGGTTCGCATGCATCTCCCCCGCCCATTACGGAGCGCCCCTCAAAAGAGTCGTGGCCCCGTAGGGAGGTCCACCCAGGGCCCCAGCGGCAGGGTTTGCATGCGTTTCCCCCGCCCATTACGGCATACCCCTCACACGTTCCTTGGCCCCACAGGGAGCTCCACCGAAGGCCCCTGTGGCGCAGTTCGCATGCCTCTCCCCCTCTTCATTACGGAACTCCGCTCACACGTGCAGAGGTCTACCCAGGGCCCCAGTGGCAGGGTCGCATGCGTTTCCCCGCCTGTCCCGGCACGCCCATCACACGTTGCGTGACCCATAGGGAGCTCCACCTTGGGCCTTGGTGGCAGGTTTCGCAAGCGTTTCCCCCGCCCATAGCGGCACCCCCCTCACACGTTTCGTGGCCCCATAGGGAGCTCCACCCAGTACCCCAGGTTCGCGTACGTTTCCCCCGCCCATAGGGGCACACCCCCCACACGTTTCGTGGCGACACAGGGAGTTCTACCAACTGCCCCAGTGGCACAGTTCGCACGCGTCTCTCCCCTTCATTGCGACACGCCGCTCTCACGTTTCGTGGTCCCATGGGGAGGTCCGCCCAGGGCCCCAGTGGCAGGGTTCGCATGCATCTCCCCCGCCTATTACGGCACACCCCTCCCACGCTTCGTGGCCCCATTGGGGGCTCCACCCAGGGCCCCCGTGGCAGGGTTCGCATGCGTCTCCCCGACCCCTTGTGATTCACCCCTCCCGCATTCCGTGGCCACATAGGGAGCTCCACCGAAGGCCCCTGTGGCGCAGCTTGCATGCCGTCCCCTCGCCGATTTCGGCACAACCCCTCACACGCTTCGCGGCCCCATGCGGAGCTCCCCCGAAGACGATACTCACAAGTAATTGCGGTACTTACAACTGCATATGGTTGGGTCCTTCGCCAGGCTAATTCACAATGGGTCGTGGCCTTCCGGAACAAACGTGTAGCCGGCATTGAGGCGAGAGTACGATTCTCAGCCAGCGAGGTCCGCCATGAATCAAAGAAGAACAAGTTGTATAGAGCTGAATGTGCAGAGCTCCGCGGCCGCTACCTTTGCCTCGTGCTCGCATTTTGGGGGCCTCCTGGGAGGCCCTCGTTCGGCACGGCTGGATGTGCCTCAAGTTCGGTTCAAAACGCACTCCAGGAGAGGTCTGGGGAGTAGCAGAGCTCGAAGAAGAAGAAGAAGAAGAATGACAACAACAACGTGAATTTGCGTAAGCACAAACTTTCGGAACTTCGCGCGGATTCCTTGGATAGGCGCTGGCCCCCCCTGGCAGCGCCTCCGGCGTCACTCCTGGCGCGCTCCGCTCGCCAGGGAGGGGGCCCTCAGGGCCGATGCAAGAAGTCCTCCCGAACGTTTATGTTTGTGCAGGTTGTTCTTTGTCGAGCTCCAAGGGTTTATGCTTGCGCCGCTTCCTGTCACCGCTGCTCCCTCGGGACCCGTCTGCTTCATGAGATAAAGCAGGCGGGTCCCAAGGGGAACGATGGTCTCGAGGCCGCTCGCCGGCTCGCCGGCTCCTGGGGCCTTCCCGGGCCCCGGGGTTGCCAGAGACGGGCTCGGGATGAGATGCTGGTCCTGGGGGGAGGGCTCTGGGCTCCCGGGCCCGCTCTTCCTCCAGGGCCCGACACCCTCCGCGCCGAGAGGTCCGGGAGAGGTTCGCCCACGGCGGTGTCTTCGGGGAGCTCGTGTACGCCGCCCTCATGGGGCAGATCACCGTGAACCAGGTCATAGGCTTGTGGAGGACGATCAACGGAGAGGAAGCATGCTGCCAAATAATCTGTCCTTACGTCTAAAAAGTGTTTCAAACATGTTTTGAATATGTAAAAAAGCCATGTTTAAAACATGTTTCGAACATTTTTCCGACATTTGACACACCTTTTTAACTTCAATGATAGGACTGTCAGAGTGTCCACTGTCGTGGCATCCACAACCAGAGGCCCGCTGCTGTTCCGGCGGGCCATCATCGCAGCCGGGGACGCGCCCTCGGCCAGCGCCCGGCGCCCCCACGCCGAGAGCGGCGACGCCGACGTCGACGACGACCCGCCCGCCGGGGCCGCGCCGTGCGGCCGCGCGGTCGGGGCCGGGGCCGCGAGGCTGCCGGCGCGGGCCGGGGTGCCGCAGGCGCCCTCCTGGCTGGCGGCGGCGAGGCAGATAGGGGGCGGCAAAGAGGAGGGGGATGGCTACGGGGGGGGGTGGATCTCATGGCGGGGGCCACGATGTTTCCCCAGATCTCATGGCGCCTCGTCTGCTTCCATGGCGTCCCTGGCCCCCCCCCGCTGGGCCGCGCACAATGCCGCCGGTCATGATTTGCACCCCCCCCTCTTGGACACCCCCCTCTTGGCCGCTGCCGAAGGCAGAGGGGCGTGGGCATGCCGGGCTGGGTGCCGAGGAGGTCCTGCTGGAGGAAGGCCGCCGTGGCCACCGTGGCGCCCGCGCACCTCGACGTGGGCGACGCGGACGGGGGAGCGCCCGCGCCGGCGAGCGTGGGCGCGCGCTCGGGGCGGGATGGCAAAAGGTCACAGGGGCCCAGGCTTGCAGTCGGGGCGCTGAAGAAGGAGCCCTTTTCGTTGGGGAGGGGCTCCGTGTTCCTTGATTGTTTCGCAGCTTGCCTTAGGTTTTCCTTAGGTTTTCGATGGGAGATTCGAACTTTAACGGATGGGAAAAAGGGGCCTCGTTCCTTATTTAGGGTTCCTTAGATCAACGACCCGACTGTATGATGCTCCAACCTACTTTAGCCTTGATCTCCAGAAAAATTCCGAGCGCCCAGAAGATACCGAAACTCAAGGGTTTTCACGTGTCGGGCCCAGGGAGACACTCGCCCGACACTGTTTCGATACTCTTTTGACACTCTTCCGGGTGCTCGAAATTATTTCTGTGATGTGGCCCTTAAGTAGGATGGGAACAACATAAGCCCAGACCCCCTCCTCAGACGCGGCCTACCTGATCCCTAGCAAACCATCCCCTTCCGTCACGTCCGCCTCGCCTCACCCCAAGACGTATGCATGCTGTTTGCGGCCAGAGGGGAGCTTGGAACAGCTCAGGATGAAAAACCAGTCCTGGGGAAGGAGTCCAGACCTCAGCGGGAGTCCACGCTATGAAGATGATATGACGTCGGGTGTCTGGGGCTCGATCGTTCGGGCCGTACGAGCGACTCGTCCCAGATCCTTCTCAGAACATTCGGAGCGCTCTATGGAACGGCCGCAGTGCCCGATACGTCCTCTCAGACTCTCCAGCCATCGGGGAGGCTTCACATTGTTTGCGTTGCGTTGATGTACATTGCTTTGCTTTGCATGTGTGTTTGGCTTTGTATTGAGTTGAAGTCCTTGCATTGATTTGCATTGCTTTGCTTTGCTTCTGTTGCTTTGCATGGTTTCGCTTTGCATTACTTCGCATTGCTTTGCGCCACATAGATTGCACCACATGGGTCACACCACCTAGATTGCACCTCGTGCGGTAACACCACGATTGCACCTGATAGGTTGCACGAACTCACCGTTCGGGGTCCACGCTAGTTGACATTCGAGTGTCACGTGCGTTCCCAGGTTCATACAAACAAATGTGCAGGATGTCTGTGTGGTGTGTAATGTACGTGTGTGTGTTATGTGTGTTGTGTGCGGGTGGTGTGTTACGTGTGGGTGTGTTATGTGTGAGTTATGTGTCGGGTATATGTGTTCTGTGTGTGGTACATGTTAGGTGTGTTGTGTGTGCGTTGTGTGTGTTGCTTGTGCGTTGTGTGTGATGCTTGTGTGTTGTGTGTGCGTGCGTGAGTGTGTGTTCTCTGTGTGTTATGTGTGTTGTAGGTGTTGTGTGTTATGTGTGTGTGCTGTGTCTGCTATGTGATGTGGTGTGTGTATTATGTGTGCGTCCTAGGTGTGTGTGTGTGTGTGTTTGTGTTGCACGTCGGGGCTCGATTTCGGGAGGATGTCTCGGGCGGAACTGCATGTGTCTAAGGCTCGGGTTGAAAAGAGGCTCGTTGTTTGAAGGATGTCCAAGGCAAAACTATAGTGTTCTCAACATCTGGCTCAGAAATCATTGAATCCCACTGTGTTGTTGAAGGTGTTGGGTTGAACGTGTTAAAAAGAAGAATGTGGTGTTGGACCGTGACGTTGCGATCTGCGTGAGGGGTGCGTCCGATATTCCGAATGTTGAGGATGTCCTGAGCAACACGGCCAGGCACATCTCGAACGGAACGGGATTTTCACTGAATCGTTCTTGAGCTCTATTCCCTCGGAGAGGTGCATATGATAATACGTATAGATGGACGAATACAGGTATACACATGCATACTTATCACATATGTTGTGTTATATGTGTGTTAGTGTAAGTTTGTATATATGGCGTAAAGGAGAAAGGGAGAAGGAAGAGCAATCGGTCTTGCGAGCAACTTGCCTTGCACGCAGCCCACACAGTGTCGAGGCCTCCGTCGCCGCCTCGGATAGACGAGGCGGCAGAGCTGGAGAGAGCGAATGCTGGAGAATGCTTCGAGCTACCGCTGCAATCTTCTCGGGCACGCCAACGTCCTGGCTAACCAGAATCCCCGTTCAGGGGCCCCTGATTCGTGTGGACGTGCGAGCCCACCCTGCTTGGCCTTCGACGCGGGCCGTCCTCCTCCCGTCCCTCCTTCCCTATATCTCTCCTTCTCCTCCTCCTCATCCTCATCCTCGTCACCCTCATCCCTCCTCACTCATCCCTCCTCATCCCTCCTCCTCCTCCTCCTCATACTCCTCCTCCCCCTCCCCCTCCTCCTCCTGCTGGTTCTCGCCCCCCGCTCCCTCCTGTAGCCTACTTGCCCTGCCCCCTCCCGAGCAGCTCAGCAGGCGGGGAGTCTCTCGCACGGCCGAGGCCGCCGCCTGGCAGCTCCGCAGGGCCCGCGCGCCTGGCGCTCGGCGCTTACCCTCAGTATCGTGCAACCGATCTCTGTCCACATCCCCTGTCCACGTCTCGAGCCCCACCGTCTCACCACCTCAGTTGGGGATACAGTCGGGGCGCTGACTAAGGAACCCTTTTCGTTGGGGAGGAGCTCGGTGTTCCTTGATTGTTTTACAGTTTGCCTTGGGTTTTCCTTAGGTTTTCCATGGGGAATCGAAGTTTAAGTTAAGGGAAACAGGGGCCTCGTTCCTTATTTAGGGTTCCTTAGGTCAACGCCCCGACTGTATGCCCCTCGAAACCCGAAGAGAGCAGCCTATATCCCCATCCGGGGGGGTACATCGGCCGGTAGGGCCCAGCACACGCTGGTGGGGAGGAGGATCGTTCAAACGATGCTCCTACCCCCCGCCAGCCCCTCTAGGAGCGGTGCCCGGGCGAGATTCGGAGAAAGAGTCGACGAACGAGCCGCACACACCCACACGCGTGGTGTCGGATGGGGGTCCCCGCTCGAACGGGAGCGCCCTCCCGGGGTCCAAACATCCCGCACCCATACCCATAGCCAGTCCTCGTCCCAACGACCCCCCTGTGGGCACGGTTGTGTGTGTGTCGTTCGTTCGTTATGAGAGGGCCGACGGTCGAAAATTCAGAGGCCAGGGAATCACCGCGTGTAAGCTAGTCGTGGGCTGGACACGTATCCATAACCACGGCCTCGCGCGCCAGGCCCGTGAGCCGCGACCCCATACGCATGCGGCGAGTTTCTAAGATGCTTCGCTTTTCCACTCGATCGCGTCCTGGAATCCAGACAGCGATGGCGTGGATGTGGATGTGTCCGCCGCTCGTGACCCAGACATGCGACGCCGTGCCTTCCCCGTGCGGGACCCCCCGGAGCCCCGACCCTTCCCCGGGGGCCCGCCTTTCTCATCCCGAGTCCTCTTCGACGGTCCAGGGGCCCGGCAGGCCCTCCCTCGAGCCCGTCTGGCCCAGGGCCCCATGGCCGCTGGCGGTGCCTCCGCGCGGGGCTCCACCCGCGCCGGGCCCGCCGCCGAGGCGGCGGCGGCGGCCGGCCTGCTGCCCCGATGGGCCCGGGCGGCGGCGAAGCCGCCTCCGCGGAGTGCCTGCTGTGCTACGAGGACAGCTGATGGAATGGCGCCCAAGGAAAGACTCAGCTGTGCGATGTCAAGCTCTCTCGATGTGTTTTGGTAGGGGAACGAGAAGTGGCATAAGCATAAAAACTCGGAGGTCCGCGCGGATTTCTCGAATCGGCGCTGGGGGCCCCCGGTGGCGCCTCCGGCGCCGCCCCTGGCGCGCTCCGCGCGGCAGGGAGGGGGTCTAGCGCCGATCCGAGAAATCTGCGCGGACCTCCGAGTTTTTATGTTTCTGTCATTCTTCGTTCCCCTATTTGGGTGCACCTAGCCCAGTTGAGCGTGCTTCAGTCGAGGGGTCTCCCTCTCGACACCCTGAGCCAAGGACGCGTGTGGACAGAGACGAACCGCTCTGCTCACATTGCACATGCACTGCAGCGCTGCACCTGCACTGCAGCGCTGCACCCATAGCTATACGACCCCCAGATGGTCGGGGTGGATGTCTGGAAGGGCTGTGGGCGAGGGGTGTCGAATGAGAGTCCCCGCTCGAACGGGAGCCCTCTCGGGATCCAGCATAGCGAAGCGCGAGTCAGCCCCCTAGAAGTATGGGTTTTGCGTTGTTCGCTCGTCGATTGCTGCGCGGTATCCGACCCTTTTTGAGTATTTTCTGACCTTTTTGGGCTATTTGGGGGGTATTTCTTATGTTTCGTCGAAAATCCCTGGAGCGGGCGGTCACTGGGATGGGAGGTGACGGAGAAGGACCTTCCAGGATTCTGGACGCCCGAGATGGGTACGGAACGACCCATTGTAAATACTCCTCTTGTAGAGGGGCATGCCCGGCTCAAATGTGACGATGCCGCTCACGGCTGGAGGCGGAACGCGCGCCCAAGCATAGATTTTCGGAGCTCCGTGCGAGCTTCTGGGGCCGGCGCGGGGGGCCCCCTGGCGGCGCCTCCGGTACTGCCAGGCCCAGCGCAGATCCAAGAAATCTGCGCGGACCTCCAGAAGTTCATGCTCAGAGGAAGAAGAATAGACGCCCGAAATGGGTACGGAACGAATGGGTACAATGCCCAACATCAGTTCCTGTTTATCCTGAACAGGACTCGCTGTCGGTGTCGCCGCGGCCTGTGCCCATTCGAGGCAGGAGGCCGCCTGCCCAACAGCGGCCGCTGTCGGTTTGGGATAACATTTGTTGTTGGGCATTGTACCCATTCTTTCCGGACCCATTTCGGGCGTCCAAGAGGGTGACCCAAAGAGGGTCAGCCACGCGCAGAGGGGGGCAGGGGGGAGGGGGGAGGGCTTCTGAGAAGCACCCCTGCCCCTTGGAAGGCGCGGGCCTTCTCTGTAGATGCAAGGCCGGCGCCTTCTGAGAAGCAGCCTCCTCCTAAGAAGCCCTCCCCCCTCCCTCCACCCCCTTGTGCGCGCCGCCAAGAGGGGGTGAAGAGAAAAGTTCAGGAGGGGGAAAAACACACAGACACAATTAAGCGTCGACCCCCAGGAAAATACGGGAAACTATGGAAAGTGCGGGGAAGACAAAAACTCATAAAATATAGGAAAATATGGGGAATCCTTTTATTCGTGTGTATTTATTTGTGTGTCCCAGGGCCCCTTCAAAAGTCCAAATGGGGGGGTGAAGGAGAGGGCCCCGGAAGGGGCCCCTTCCTGGCCCCTTCTGGCCACCCGCGGGCTCCACGAGGGGCCCCGAGGGCCCCCCTTTTTCGGGCCTTCTCCTCGCCCCGGATTTGGGCCACCCCCCCCTTTCGCCCCCCGCCCTTGGCATCGCTCGGACGTGTGCGTTTTTGTTCGTCGGCGAGGACCATCGAGGAGCATCCTTCATCATTTGGCGAAAAAACCACACACACACACACACACACACACACACACACACACACGAAACCGAAAAAAAACACAGGGAATGGACGTCCGAGCGATGGCCAGCGCCCACGTCTGCCTTGTGAAAGGGGTTCCGTCCACTCCCAGGCGCACTCCCGGCCGCCCACGTGAGGTCCCAGCAGATGGGGGCCGAGGCTCGGGCAGCATCGCCAACGCCTCGGCGATGCGGCTCGATGAGCAGCTCAGCTCTCTCCATGCCAACGTCGCTGATGCGTCGCTGATGCATCGGCGCTGTGGCGCCGTCCTCCGATCCAATGGGCTCCGACCCCAGCTGGGCGGCCTCCATGTACACAAAGTTGCCTCAGGCCCTGGACGAAACTGAGTCGCTCCAGGGCGTCCGGGGCGCTCTCAGGGCGTTCTGGGGCGTTCAGGGATGCAACGGCCGCGGCGCCCGATGCATCATCCAAGCCCGCCAGCTCTCGGAGATTCCCGATGTGTCTCGCTCTGGATTTCTTCTCGTCCTGGGTTCTTCTTGGCGCAGCCCCTCACGGCCACGGCCAGGAGGACGTGTTACTCTAGGCCTCCCAAGTAGGGTCCGAGGAGATGGGGTCGGAGGATCGCGCCGCAACGCCGATGCATCGGCGATGCGGCTCGATGTGGAGCCCAGTTTTGCACGCCGACTGCGCCAATGCGTCGAAGATGCATCGGTGATGCAGCGCGACCCTTCGACCTTGGAGGCGGCCAGGGGGTCTGAGCTGGAAGGAAAACTGTCAAGAGGGGGATGAAGGCAAATTCACTCAAATCGGTCCCCAGACCCATCCAGGGGTAGCTTTTCGAGCCGCGTCCAGCCGTGGCCACGCCACGCCACTTCTCTTTTCCCGCCCCGCCCCCTTCTTCACCACGCCACGCCACTTCTCTTTTCCCGCTTCACACATCTTGCGATGGCTGGAACAGGCACGCGAGCGCCAGGAACACCGGTACGAGGAGTTCTCGAGCGCGATGTCCGCCAACGGTTATTTAGCCCGCTCCACGAGATGGATGGGCAGGATGACCTCGGATCTCCTCCCCGGCCGGAGGTCCATCAGATCTCTTCGCCGGTGCCCCCTACCACTCCCGCAGAAGCTCACGCAGCACCACAACCTCATCTATCTCCAACTTTACAACAAATCGCCGCAATCATCCGCCAGGAAGTTCAGCCGATCAACGCCACCATCGAAAACCTCGACAAGCGGCTGCAGGAAATGAGCAGCAAGGTGGACGGCAGGTTCGGGGAGGTCGAGAGCCGCATAGAGGGCATCGACACCCGCATCACAAACTTGGAGAGCATGTATGACCACGCTGGCGGTTCCGCGTCATCCCCACGCAGCGTAAACACAGACGTCTGGGACCACATCAAGGCGCTGCAGGTGGAGATCGAGCAGCTGAAGGGCACCACCCCGGGGACAGACAAGAGCCAGGACAGGGAGGTGACCGCTGTGATCGGGGCCTGCAGGCCCTTGCGGGGGAGGAGGAAACCCAGACCTGGTTGACGAAGAAACTCTGGGATTCATGGGCCCCCCAACCCGAGGAAGTGTACATCAAGGGGGAGTTCCAGGGCCTGGTTTTCGCAAAGTTCTCGGACAAAACTGGGCGGGACTCGGCAATCCAGTTGATCCGTAAATCACACTTCAAGGAAGGTGGGAACAAGGTTTGGGCCAAGCCTGACACGGAACTGCCGACGCGTGTCATCAATTCTTTTGTTTTCGGGGCGAAGCACATCATGAAGGAGTGGGGGTACCCTAACAACAGCATCCGGGCAGATCCGGCCGAGGGCACGGTCTGGGTTGGCGGCGAAACTGCGATCCAGGTGTCTATCGTGAAGGGCATCTTGAAAGTCGGTTATGGCGAGGGGTGGGAAGCATGGTTGCTGCAAGACGGCTTCCCGCAGTTTCCAGACATGGTGAAGAAGCTCTCCGAGAAAATCCAGAAGTATTCCTCCAAGGACACGGCTCAAGGAGGCGCGAAAGGAAAAGGCAAATTTAAAGGGAAAGGTGGTGGCTCAGGTCGCCACTAGGGGTGCCGGCGGAGCGCGAGCAAGATTGTTTCACCTTCATGCGGCCCAGGGGATTGCAGGCGTCCTTTCGACAGTCCACCTGGCGCACAGAGCCAGCGTGACGGTGCACAGCATGGCGAAGCTAAGCTGTCCTTGATGGCTGCGCGGGGCGGCCGTTTGCGCCCGGCACATAACGAATTTACATTTGCATCGTGGAACGTCGAGGGCTACACGGAGTCCAAACAGGCAGAACTAGAGTTCATCATGCAGGAAAGGGTATCATCATATTGGGCATACCAGAAACGTGGACATCCAGATCACATGTCTTCCAGACAGACACAGGGCACCTAGTCATACTACCGGGCGGTCCGGAGAAATCCACAGAGAAAGATGGCGCGGGTTTCATCGTCGCGCCTCGCGCGAGGCAGTCCGTCGTCGGCTTCGGCCAGGATTCGTCCCGCATGGCTTCCATCAAGATCAGGATTTCTGGCGGAAAGGCTGCATTATTTTCGGCACACGCACCACACAGTGGCAAACCATACCAAGAGCGGCAAGACTTTTTCACAGACCTTGGCGACTTCGTCGCGAAGACCTCGGCCCACGGCCCCAAGATCGTGATTGGAGACTTCAACGCGCGCTTGCACGAGCAACTGGGCGACGAGCAGGACATCGCTGGTCCGCATATCTTCAAGCACCCGCGTCAAACCGTGAAGGCCGATGCGAACAGATACCTCTTGGTAGAAATCTGCGCCCGGTTGAATATGAGCATTGCTAACACGTTCTTTCCTGGCACCCAGGAGTCGCTTGCCACGAGCTACAACGTCGGGTGCCCGATGGGGTGCGACGTGACCCCGGACACGCATTCACATATAGATTTTTGCATGTGCGAACAAGATTGGCTTCCTATGCTTAGCTCTCTTCGATCGTGCCGGGAGGCGCCGTTGTCTTTTCATCATTTCTTGCTTTCAGGTCAAACGAGAATGGTAGTGCCAAAGCCGGCCGCGCCGCATAAGAATCCGAAGTTGGACGTTGAGCAGCTCGGCGAGGAAGGCATGCGCCAACGATTTGCACAGCATCTTTCGAGGTCACTTGAGGACATTAACGAGGGCGGGGGCGCCGGCTCCGATGTCGACCTCTCGCGGTGCCAACTAGTAGATGCTTTTGAACACGCAGCTGCCTACTCCTTGCCTGAGAAACCTAGGACCGCCCGACGGCCGTGGATCTCGGGGAGCACGCTGCAGCTCATTGCCCGGCGAAATGGTGCCAGGCAGCGCGGGCATTGCATTGCGGAAAAGAACCTTGCGAAGTCCATCCGCCAGCGCGTCGCCAAGGGCCGCGCGGTGCGGTTGGAAAAGCTCACCGCCGACGGCAACTGGGGTGAAATACGGATGTTTCGGAATGGATTTTGCCCTTGCCAAGGTCGACTGCGCGATTCTGAAGGTCAACTCGTTGACAGCGAACGCAGGCAGAGACGCTGGCAGATCACCTTGAGAAAAAGCAATGGGCTGTCCGGCCAACCACAACAACGCAGAACGTTGAGCACATCAACGAGGAGCTTCCAGTCCGCATGGGGCCTATCACTGAAGACGAGGTCCGAGCCGCAGCGAAACGCCTACGCTATGGCGAGGCAGCAGGGATGGGCGATCTACCGCCTGAGTTTTGGAAGGCAGCGACGGACCAGGGAGAAACTGCATTGTCATGGATTACGAAAGTTTGCAACCTGGTGTGGAGCACCTCGAGAGTGCCCGACTCGTGGCACAAGGCGAAGGTCACATTAATTTACAAGAAAGGAGACCCAGCATCCTGCGACAACTACCGCCCAATATGTTCGCTGCCGATCGGCTACAAAATGTTCGCCATGATCCTTTTGAGCAGGCTGAAGGAGGCTGGGGCCGAGAATCACATATGGCGGACGCAATTCGGTTTTCGTTCTGGCCGGGGCACCGCTGATGCGATCTTTGACGCAAGGAGAGCGTTGGAAGATGCATGGGCGACCAAGGACGGGGCTGCCTTGTTCCTCGCGCTCGACTGGGCGAAAGCATTCGATTCGGTGTCGCCCGAAGCGCTCGCAGTCTCACTCCGGCGGTTTGGATGCCCGTCGCATTTCGTGAGCGTTGTGTCTGCTATTTATCAGGGTCGGAAGTTCGTCGTGACCGACCGCGGAGAGACATCCCACGAATATGTACAAAACTATGGTATATGTCAAGGCTGCCCACTGTCGCCATTTCTCTTCACCATTGCGATGACTTCCCTTCTCACCGACGCGCACGCTATGCACCGAACGCGGGCAGGCCAAGTTCCAACGGAAAAGTGCGCGCGGGAACTAGTGCATGCTGACGACACGCTCCGGATTGACAGTGACCCGGATATCATCGAGGACCTCATGAATTGCATAGAGATATGTGGAAGCCACTATGGGCTATCGTTCAACCTACAGAAAATAGAGATGCTGAAGGTGAAGACGGCGGCGGACGTTCGGGACAGCAGCGGTGAGTTGGTGATTTGCAAGGATTCTCTTGTGCATCTCGGTACCCGTCTGTCCGCCGACGGAAGGAGCGGAACAGAATTGAGCGACAGGATTGGCGCAGCGGGCAAAGATTTCAATATTTTGTTTTCGATCTGGTCCCACTCTTCTCCTCCTCGGAGGAAGAAAGTCAAGATCTTCGAATCGCGCGCGGTGCCCAGACTATTATACGGCGTGTTTGCCGCCTGCCTGAACAAAACGGAGCGGAGGAGGCTAGACAGTTTTCAAGCACGTTGCCTGCGAAAAATGTTAGGTGTTTCGCCGGCATATTACAGCAGAGTGTCAAACGCAACCGCGTTGGCAATGTCAGGCCGGAGGCCTATCAGCGAGACCGTCATCAAGAGGCAGATGCTCTTCATGGGCCAACTTGCGCGACGTCCTGACAACAACCCTGTCCGGCAATCTGTTTTCCAGCCAGGTGGCATAGATCTTCGGCCCCCGTCCGGACCTCGGCGACGAGGGCGCCCCAGGCAAGCGTGGGGAAGCATGGTTTTTCGAAATTGTCTTGAAGTCGCTGGTTCCCTCGACGCGCTGTCTGCATACTTTCACCCCTCAGGTGGGGCGGCAGCATCGTGGGAGTCGGCAGTGAGATCTTGGTGCCCGAACACAGGGTAGCACCGCAATTTGACATCGCGGTGCCATGTTTCACCTTGCTCGCGCGCCGTCTGGCGCTAGGCTTTTCGCTCGCTCGCTCGCTCCAGCCGTGGCGACGAGGAGGTCCCTTTCGCCATCCTCCTTCTGGCCGGAACCAGTGCTGGGTCACCTCAGCTCCCCAGTCGGCTCCGACTCGGACCCCACCTGGGAGGCCTTGAGAGGCCTTGGAAAACACAGCGTGCCAGCTCAGACCCCCTGGCCGCCTGGCCACCTCCAAGGTCGAAGGGTCGCGCCGCATCGCCGATGCATCGGCGATGCATCGGCGACGTCGGCGATGCATCGGCGCCGTCGGCCGGCGCGATCCTCTGACCCCATCCACTCGGACCCCGTTTGGGAGGCCCCTAAACTGAAGTCGGGCATGCCCCTCTACAGGAGGAATATTCAAAGAAAGTCAAACGATAGTCTGGGGACGATGTTTTGACCATGTTTGACCATTTTGGCGTGGAGTTCTTTATTTTTCGTCCACAATCTGCTTGCACGAGAACATGCACGCACCGTGCCAGGCCCGATGGTGGCCAGGCATATTTTGGCGATGCGCAGAGGCGCCCTCCCTGCGCAGGAGCGGGGCAGCGTGGAGCCCGCGCCCTGCTGCGGCAAGGGCACCTGCGGGCGGTGCAGGCGCATGCTCGAGCGGCGCGCGGGGTCCCAGCCGCTTCTGTGCCCCTTCTCGGGGGTTGCCAGATGTGCCCCCGGCCCCACGGTGAGCGGCGTAAAAAACGGGGCCGTCTGCGCCGGCATTGGCGCGTTAGCTGACCGCGCGAGGTCGCGCGTAAGCGCCCTCGTCTCCAGTGCAGCGTGCCGCGCTGGCGGCCCGCGCAAGCCGCCGCGGAAGGTCGCAACGTCGCCTCGCGCAAGACCCGTTTCTAATCGCCCCTCGGGTGCCTCCAGGATTCTCGGGGTTCGCTGAAACGGGGGTCGGCGCGGACTGGCGTCAGCCAAAGCCCTTGTGGCGGATCCACTTGACGGGCCGGCTCCCCGCTTCCGCCCTCCGCCGACCTGAATGTGGGACTTGGCATCGCTCGGACGTGTGCATTTTTCCTTCGGCGAGGACCATCGAGGAGCATCCTTGATGATTTGGCGAAAAAACCACGCACGAAACCGAAAAAAACACAGGGAATGGACGTCCGAGCGATGCCCAGTGACGGGCCGGCTCCCCGCTTCCGCCCTCCGCCGACCTGAAGCTGGGAGCCAGTCCGCTGCCGGCCAGGCTTCGCGACCAGGGCCCTGCCCTGGCGCTGACCCGGGTCTGTGCCGACCCGGCCGGTTCGTCCCCGAGGTGTCCATGGGAAGTGCGTCCGCGCGCAGAGGGGGGGGGCAGGGGGAGGGGGGAGGGCTTTTTAGAAGCACCCCTGCATCTGGAAGGCGCGGGCCTCGTCTGAAGATCTGAGGCCGGCGCCTTCTGACGAGCAGCCCCCTTTCTAAAAGAAGCCCTCGCCGCTCGGCCTGATGCCTCCTCGCAGGACGGGTGGCCCCGTGGCCGTGTTGCTCTTTTCCCAATTGTTTGCCCATGCCGTGTGGGTCCTTGGCCGTGGATGTCAAAACAGAATCCCGTGAAACGGCACGAAGTGTTACAACGGCCTACACAACAGATCTGCGCGCAGGAACCTGACAGCAGTATCTTGTCTTGGTTCTCGGTGCACCTGTGGGGGTGTCGGCGCGTCGTCCCCGGCGGCCGGCTGACCCCAAACAGGCGCTGCAGGCCGAACAGAAAAAGAAGGCCGCACGCCTCCCGAGCGCCCTGCGCCCCGACCCTCGAGTCAACCCAGAGCAGAGTGAAGTCTGGCGTGTCCCTCTACAGGAGGAAGATTCAAAAATAGCTCTGACATAGTAAGGGGACACATTGTTTCTACTGTCTTTGATCATTTGGGGGTGTGTTTTGACTATTTTTCATTAGTCGTCCAAAATCCCCCTGTAGGAGGACACGTCCGACCTAATACTGGTCTTGGCCCCCCAGGCCTATTCAACCCAGCGCAGAGGGTTTTCACGTGTCCTGCCTTGGGAGGCGATGCTCACTCGACGCTTCGCCGGCGTGTCGGGCAGACACTGCCTCGATATTCCTCGGGTGCTCGAGGCCATTTCTGGAAATGCGGTCCCGCAGCACGGTGGGAGCAGCGCGGCCCCAGGGGGGAGCACAAGCTTGGGCGGCGCCCTGGGCCAGGGGGCACACGCCTGGCAGGCCCCCGGCCTTCTGCCGCCAGCCGGCCGTCGGCGCGCACGGTGCCTCGCTGGGCCTCCGCAGCTGCATCGTCCGGGAGCTCTGCAGCTTCGGCCTCAGCCCGGGGAGCGGGGGCGGCATGCACTCGAAGGCAGAAGAACCGCCACAAGCATGAACTGTGGGCGCTCCGCGCGGAGTTCTTCGGATCCGCGCTGGGCCCCCCCGGCGGCGCCTCCGGCGCCGCCCCTGGCGCCGCCCCTGGCGCGCTTCGCGCGCCAGGGAGGGGGACCAGCGCAGATCCAAGAAACCCGCGCGGAGCGCCAAAAGTTTATGCTTATGGCGGCTGTTTCTTCTAATGAATGCACCCGGGGGCGGCTCGGGGGGCCCAGGTCGGCGCTGGGCCCACCCTCCCCCAGATAGAGCTGTTAGGATGCAGCTCCTGGTGAGGATGCAGCTCCTGGGAGGATGCAGCTCCTGGGAGGATGCAACCCCTAGGAGGATGCAGCTCATGGGAGGATGCAACTCCTGGGAGGATGCCACTCCTGGGAGGATGCAACTCCTGGGAGGATGCCACTCCTGGGCGTCAACTCCTGGGAGGATGCCACTCCTGGGCGGCACGCGCACGATCAGAAACGGAAGAAGGACCTCCACGTACGATTAAGTCGGGCATGTCTCTCTGCAGGACGAATATTTCAAACATCGACAGACTAGTTTTGATTATTTGCTGACTATGTTTTATTTTTCACCCATAATCCGCTTGTAGGGGGACATGCCCGACCTAAACGTACATGTACGGTAGGTTCGCATGGCGTTGGTGCGACGGCGACGCCAGCGACGGCGTTCGAGGCTCAATTCTGCGACGCGGAAGCACCGATGGACACGGTAACGCCATTGGACCCGATTGAATTGAACCTTGAACGATCGGGGCCGCGATCGATTCAAATTTGGACGATCGACGCGGTGTCAAAAACTTTTGCGCGCGCCGGCGCCGCGCGAACCTATCGTACATGGATCCACGTTGGTTTGAAGAGTACGCGTTGCGCGAACGTTCGTTCGATTCACGCGGCTTGTCTCGCGGATTGAGGGGCCGTGTTCTTGTACAAGTTCGGGACACGTACGTCTTTGGTGTTGGTTCCCTACCCGAGTTGCCTGGAGCTGGCTTGGGTGGCCCGGGGTCGGCGCTGGGCCCACCCTCCCCTAGAGCCCTGCCAGGATGCAAACTCCTGGGAGGTTACTTGCAGCATCGCCGCTGTTATGCAGGACATCCGTGGTCGAAAAAGCGGGCACACTCTGGCCGAACCCTGCTCGATCGAGCTGCATCTCGTCGATTCCGGCTGCATTCCGTTGAATCCGGCCTCATCCTGGGCTTGTTTTGGCTCAGTCTGGTGCAAGGGCCCATTCATCGAGCTTGAAAGCCTTCTAGAGCCCCGAATCATCAGGGGTAACTCAGGTCAGGGCTAACGCGGGTTCGTTTTTCGGGAATGCGAACCCGAGATACCCCGGGCCCGAGTTACCTCAGATAATTCGGGCGTCCACCGCCCCAAACCATCAGGGGTAATTCGGGTCAGGGCTAATTCGGGTTCGAACCCCGGGCCCGGGTCACCCCGGATAGCTTGGGCGCCCAATTTCCAAGTATTTTCTTTGGGTGGAGGACAAAGGGTGAAATCTGAAATGCCGTTTCGATGGATTCTCGAGCCTTGAGTCTGCAACAGGTGAATCACAAGACGGATTGGCTTTCGAGATGCAGGCGCCCATATGGATTTCACCCTGAGCCCTCCACCCTGAGAACATGCTCAGAGTTCAATCGTGCTGACGCAACTTCCCAGAAGCTGCCTCCCAGCAGTTGCGCCTCCATGGCGGCGCCGCGGGCGCCGAGCCCCGCGTGCTCCGCGCGCCCAGGAGAGGGCCCCTAAGAAATCGGCATGCACCGATGGGCGAATCTCCCACCGCCACTGCCATATGTAGGACGGGGGAGAAGGGAGAGTGAGGAGGTCCTCCTCCTCCTCCTCCTCCTCCTCCTCCTCCTCCTCCCTCTCCTACCCATGGTAGCGGTGGCGGAAATGGGCCCCTCGTGCACCCCCGAAAGTTGCTGCTCGTGCCGTTCCCCCCGCTCCTCTGCCATCGGAGGCTGCCAGAGGTGCTTCTGGCACAGGGTGCCCCCCCAGCTCTGATAGTCGGGGGACGATGTTCGGACTAGGTTCAGACTATCTGGGAGCATTTTTGGGGTATTTGGTTATTTGTCCTCCAAAATGCCCGTGTAGGAGGGCACGCCCCCGACCTAACCCAAGAAGTCCGCGCGCACCCCCCTTAAGCTGCCGCTCGTGCCGTTCCCCCGCTCCTCTGCCATCGGAGGCTGCCACGGGTGCTCCTGGCCCAGGGTGCCCCCCAGCGTCGGGCGACGAAATCTGTGCAGATCCACCGCACCTCGGCCTCGTTCTTTCTTCCTGGACCCAGGAGCCGTGTCTGCGCCCCCCTGGCCAAGCACCGCAGCTGGGTTCAGGATGGGCCCGGCCGGGGAGCAGCGGACATGTATAGATTTCGTCGCCCTGCAGCGCCTCGTGCCATCCTGGCATCCCCGGGGCCCGCCCGGCCCAGTGGGGGGTGCTCCAGAGGCCAAATGAGCCTCTATCTAGAGCCCGAGGGCGCTTTCGGCCAGTTCGTTTCTTGGCATCGCTCGGACGTGTGCACTTCTTGTTCGGCGCTACCGAGGATCAGATTGGATCATGTTGCGGAAACGTGCGCGCGCGAAGCCGAAAAATTGTCACGGGGAATGGACGTCCCAGCGATGGCTAGTTTTCAGCCGCCGATTTTTTGTTTCTCCCCCCCCCCGATTCCCACTTGCTGCTCTGGGCTCGGCCAGAAGGCCTCCGAAGCCGCACCCCGGGAAGTGGGCGTCGGGCAGGCGGCACCGTGGCATCTGAGAGCGCAGTGAGTTGGCGGCGCGCAGAAGGGGGTAGGGGGAGGGGGGAAGGCTTCTTAGAAGGAGGCTGCTTCTTAGAAGGCGCCGGCCTTACATCTACAGAAAAGGCCCACACCTTCTAAGAAGCAGGGGTGCTTCTAAGAAGCCTTGCCTTCCCCCCTCCCCATACCCCCCTCTGCGCGCCGCCAAGTGAGGGCGGGACGGGACCGGGGCCGGCGGGCCACGGGTCGATCCCAGAGCTGAAGGCGTGGCGAACGGTCGGGAGCCTTGAGGCGGGGGTGGACAGACCTCCTACCCGGACACGTCGAGTAAGGAATTTGCCGTTGTCGGTTCGCGAGAGGGCGTCGCGGCCATCATTTTTGCGGGTCTAGGTCCGTCGGTTTCGGTCCCAGGCCGCCTTCTCTAGGGGGAGGTTTACTAAAGGGAGGTTTGTCCACCGCCGATTGAGGCGGGGGGTCCGTCAGGGCACCGGGTCCTGCAGGATCTTGCGAAGACCCCCTCTGGCTGACCCCAGTTGGCGCGCCGCTCGTGGCCGCGGGGCGGCCGCGCCTATTGGCTGGCCCGGGTTTGCGGAGCCTTGCCTTGCAGTTGTTTGTTCCTGCATTGCAGTTTTCGGTGTCCTGCTGACCCGGTGTTGATTGACCTGGGTCGGCAGATCCCCGAAGCGCGGCGCCCAGAACGGGCAACAGAGCAGCGGTTCCCACAACGAGAGTGCACACGAAGCACAATAACCAAACGAAAACATGTCCTGGTCGGCGGGTCCAACATCGGCAAAAAGCGAGCGGGGCGTGGCATCGGCAGCTGCCATCCAGCCTCGTGGACGGACGGCAGCCGGCGCGGGGCCGCAGGCGCAGGACGAAGAAAAGCGGCCAGCGTGCACGGCGCCGTGCGGGGCAGCGCTCGGAGCACCTCGGGCAGCGCCCGGCCGTCGGCAACAGCGTCGGCACGAGGGCGTGGCGGGTGCTGACCGTGGTGGCGCTGGCGCCGCGCCTGCCCCTCGCGCTGCGGGAGGCCGCCGAGGCGCTGCTGCACGTGGCCAGCGTCGGCGGCGCCAGGCAGGGCCCCCAGCCCGCCGGGCAGAGGCTCGCCGCGGCGGAGGTGGCCGTCGCGCTGTGCAGGCAGGCGTCGGCTTCAGCCAGCCTTGCGTCGGGCCTGTCCCCCTACAGGAGGAAGATTCAAAAATAAACAGAACATAGTCAGGAGACATATATATATATATATATATACATACATACATACATACACATATATACATACATATATATATATATATATGTATATGTGAATGTGGCTATTTTGAGTATTTTGAGTTTTTTTGTCTTACATCCTTCGTCCAACATCCCCCTGTGGGAGGACATGCCCGACCTAAAACCGGCCACGCGCAGAGGGTGGCGGGGGGAGGGGGGAAGGCCTCTCAGAAGCACCCCTGCTTCTCAGAAGGCGCGGGCCTGATCTGCAGTCGTAAGGCCCGCGCCTTCTAGGAAGCGGCCTGGGAAGCCTTCCCCCCTCCCCCTACCCCCTTCTACGCGCCACCAATTCAATCCCAGACCCCTTGGGGGGAGAAAGCCTCCTCTTCTCCACGGCTGAGCGCGGCTCGAAGAATGTGTTGCTTTCGACCCCAGGAGGGATCCAGGGACAAAGTTTGAGCGGATTTGTTCTCATCCCCCCCACCCACCCCTCTTGATTGATTTTCTTTTGGGGCTTATCCAGCGCAGACCCCCCCAGCCGCCTCCAAACAGACAGTGCTTTTGCCAGCGCAGGCCCCCAGCCGCTTTCAAACGGACGGTGTTTTTGCTATGTTCGACCTCAGGGGGCCTTCGCCAGGCCCCGGGACTGAAAAAACAAGTCAGGATGAAAAGCCAGTCCCGCTGGAGGGAGGATGGGCGACATCCGAAGAACAACAAAAGTGCATGCATATAAAGTTTCGAAGGTACGCGCGGATTTCCTGGATCTGCGCTGAGTCTCCCTGGTGGCGCGGAGAGGGGGGGTCCGGCGCCGCGGAGCTCTGATAGTGTATGTTTCGGTTGTTTTTTGTCTTTCTATTTTTTTCTCACTCTAAGCACTACTTCTTCGTGTTCCCTCGATTTCGGCTCCTGGAGCCCGTCATCTGGCTCCGAGACCTTTCAAGAAGGATCCGGGACTGAGAACGAATTACCCCCTCGGGAAGTAGTGGGGACTTCTGTGGCCGCGCACTGAATAAAAAGCATGGAATTTCCTAAGCCGGGGGGAGGAGAAGCAACACCACCACCAGCAGTGGGCCACCTCCAGCGAGGAGGTCCACGATGCTTCCCCGACCTGGAGATTGGAGATTTCTCGAGTAGGATGCCGCAAAGCAGGGGGGCCACACCACCAGGAGGACCCTCCTTGGCTCCTCGCGGTGTTGGTGCCGAATTGTTGCTGTTCCCAGGCAGTGGCCCAGCACCGCCGAGTTCCTCGTCCAGTCCCTCAGAAACTTCTGGGACGACCTCGACGTGGCCGGCTCCATCCGGCGGCCTTCGGCCCATCGAGCCACCGTGCCGGGGTCGTGGACGGGATGTGTCTGGGATGCACTTTCGGGGAGCCCCTTGAGCACTGAGCAATATTGGGACCCTGCGGCACTCCACGCCGTGCCTACGGCACGGCGGCGGATGATGGGCGACGAGGTCGGCAGCGTCTTGGATTACGCGGAGGTGCTGGTCCTCAGAAGCGTTCTGGCAGCCGTAGACGTGTTCGCCATATTGCGATTGCGGCACAAGGCGACTTCTGCCGCACAGGGCAGCTTTGCCTGCCTGCTGGTGCGAAGACTGGAATCAGCGCTGGGGCGGCCAAGGGTGATGGAGGAGATCTTCGCCGAAGCAGTACTCGAGGGCTGCTGCGCTGGCATGTTCCCTCTCGAAGGGCACGCGTGGACCGTTAAAGGGACACTTGGTAACTCAATCGTTTCGCGCACCCCACAAGCCCCCTTCCATTCGGTCCTGAGTGACAAGTGCGTCCCTCCAAGACTGTAAAGCGAAGCCAGCCAGAAATGTGTACCGTAGCGCCGAGGTTGCTCCAGTCGCTCAATCAGCTCTGGGTGCCTGCCGCAGACAGCGTGCATCGCGTGTTTGATGCTCATGAGGGTGCAGTGCTTCCTCGAAGCCCCCCTAGACCCCCCCCGCCCGCCTGGCCCGTCCTTGGCCCAATCACCTCTCTGTTTCGTTGCCTCGCGTCCTGGCTCCGCTGGTTGACCGTGGGAGCGAAAAGGAGGCGCCTTCCTGGCTGCCGAAGAGGCAGTGCTCCAAGTTCGTGTGGCGCTGTGGCAGTAGATTTAAGTCGGGCCTGTCCCCCTGCAGGAGTTTTCGAGGAAAAATTCAACATTGCCAACACATAGTCGAACATGACCAATAAATGCTCAAACAAAACGTCCCCAGACTATTTCTTACCATTTTGGAATATCCCCCCTGTAGAGGGACAGGCCCGACTCAACAGTAGATGGCCGAGGGCCCAGGCCGAGCCCCTTGCCTTGTTGCAGTGGGGGGCCATGCCAGGAAACACCCTGCTTGCCTCCAGGGCGCCCTGTCCTCCTCCTCCTCCTCCTCCTCCTCCTCCTCCTCCTCCTCCTCCTCCTCCTCCTCCCCCTCCTTCTCCTCCTGGGTTTCTTGGGTTTCGATGGTGTTGCCGTGGAGAGCGTGACGTGCCCACACCAAAAATCCACATGGACGTCCTGGGGTCTCAGGGCTGGGTCTATTGTGGAAGGCCCCCCGTGGACTGGCCTATACCGTACAGTGCCTGGTTGTGGGTGCTGCGATAACGAAGAGAGGATGCCTTCGAGAAGAGGCGGCGTGCGCGGTTGCACTAATCAGCCCGCCGTTCCTCCGAAGGCCCGTACGTCTGCCCACTGCACACCCTCCTGGGTCGTCCGCAGGAGGCTGCGTGGTCCTGGCTGGAGACACTGCCCTTATCCTGGGGGTCAGCGCGAGCGGGCAAGTATTGAATGGTTCAGGTTCGATGTCTGTTCATGAGAGCCTTGGGCGGCGACATTGAGATCAGCTATTCCTGCATTTGGACCGCGTCCAGTCTCAATCCCAGTCTGCCTGCTAGCCTCTCGACAGAAGCCCGTAGTGCGGGTGGGTGCGACCTGAGACGTCGGAAGTTGAGAAGGCAACGCATGTGAATGCAGCACCATCTCCACTTCCGTATGACCTTGCGTAGAGGCTGGCCCCCGTGGCCGATGAAGTACCGTCCAGTTCTCTAGTCAAAGGCATGCCTCCAAGACGCCATTCGGAGTCATCAGAGCAAACCTGACTGCGATTCAAGCCAGTGCTGAGACTCGATCCCCCGATCGGACAGCACCAGGGGCCACGCAGGCTCCCACGGACGGGACACCAAGTTCAGGTGGCGTCAGAAATTTGGGTCACCCACGAGGGCGCGAAGAGGTGATCGCGCCCTCGCGCGCCCCAGCCTGGGGCGGAGAGGTGCCCTTCTCCAGGGCGGCCGCGCGGGGCTGCGGAGATGCTGGTGAAGCGAACGTCGCGCACTGCGGGGCGCGATCCGCGAAGTTGGGCGGCCCGGGGCACCAGGGGCCACGCAGGGCTCGTTCCGGTTCCCCCGATTCGATTCGATTCGAGATCGATGGTTTCCGATTCCGAATCGAGTCGATTTCGGATTCCGATTCTGATTCCGATTTATTGTTGGAGGCAGGCGAGCCTGCCGATTTCCGCCGATTCGACTTTTCCCAACTCGGCTGCCGATGTCCGCGGATCCGATTCATGCCGATCGCCGATGCGACTTATCGATTCGATTCTGGGCTCGCCTGGGCCACGTCGTCAAGGCAGCACCCCTGCCGTGGAAGGATGCTCTGGAGGCGCGCATCTGCGGAGCAGACTGCCGCTGCGGGCCATCGGCCACCACCCGGGTTGCCGCTTCCAGCGAGGAGGTCCACGGTGCCTCCCCGAGCCGGGGAGATGGGATGCCTCGAGCGAGGGGGGGCCACACCACCAGGGGAACCACTCCTGGCTCCTCGCGCTGGTGATGGTGTCGCGTTTCCGCGTTCCTGCATCCAGGCACCCCGCCGACGTCGCCTACCTCCGGGAGCTGTACGAGGGCGCGGGGCTGGCCTGGCTGTGCCAGCATGACTCCTTCAGTGCCCTCGCCATGCTGTCGGACTCGGAGTGACGTGGCCGGCGGCGGCGAAAAGTGTGCTGCGGCTGGGAGGGTGGGCGCCGTGGCGACCGCCTCTGCCGGATGCGCGCAGGAGTGGCCCCTCGCCGGAATTACCTTTGTGGTGCGGGTGCGCCGGAATGCGCCGATCGTCGGATGCGGTGCGATGGCAGCGGGCTTGAGCGCTTGGGGTGAGCTCGGCGGTGGGATCCGAGCCCACCCTCGCAGATCAACGATTCGGGAAACCCGATGGGCGGCCAGAGTGGGGTTCGGAATTCGTCGAGCGCGAGGCGAAGACCGAATCCTACCTTCGCCTCCCATCGATTCGGGAGAATCGATGGCTGGTGCGGGCAGGGTTCCCGCAGCCGCCACCCGTTGGCCTGAAATCGGGCCCCGTCCCTCTACAGAACAGATGTTCAAAAACAAAAAAGTGTGACAAAACAGTCTGGGGACCGTGTTTCTACCATGTTTGGCCAGTTTTGAATTCTTGCTCGACTACTCCTTGTGCTTTGTCCAAACCTCCGCCTGCAGGGGGGCACGCCCGACCTAATGGCAGCCCCCCGACGGTCGCGCACCGGCAGAGGCCAACTTCTTGCCCGAAGCCACCTTCCTTGCGTGGGGCCGATCTGGCGCCACGAGGGACCAGGGACGACGGGCCCCTTCTCCCTCATCCCTCCTCCTCCTGCTCCTCCTCCTCCTCCTCCTCCATCTTCCTCCGTAGCCATTTTGGCTCAAGGTTGCGGCCCCCTGTTTCGCAGGTTTCGTGTTTCCGTGATGGTACCGGTGTCCTCGAGCGCTGGGATGGGGAGCAGCAAGGCGCTTGCTTTCCAGGCAGTGCTCGAGGCGATCGAGGCGGTGAAGATCCGGAGAGGCTGCAAGGAGTGGCTCTTCCGAGTGGCGGTCGAGACGGCGAGCCGCGAGGCCATCTCGGCCCAGCCCGCGGCTTCGGACGCTGGCTGTCCTGCCTGCGGGGTCCTCGCCACGTTCGAGGGGGTGCTGGACGAAGCTGGTCAGTCCCTCGGCCTGGAGCGGAAGGCCACGGGCGAGGACGTCAGGAAGCTCCTCGTGCAGGCTGGCCAGAAGTCTTTGGCCAAGGAGTGGGTCGACTTCCGTGCAGGGCGTCGCGCCTGTGGACACCCGTCCTCAGGGGTCGCGGAGCGGGTCATCAGGGCGATCAGCACCCTGGACAAGTCTGGAGTCGACCTCAAGGAGAGGGGGCCCAAGGAGGAGGAGTTCGTGCAGGACGGTGAGGAGATGATTTTGGAGTGTGGCGTCACCGAGGCGTCAACGGAAAGAGGGTCGGACATGGTGTCACAGAGCTTGGAGAACTTCGACATGAATGTCGAGGTTGTGGATTCCACTGTCAAGCTAGGCGAGCTGGAGTACTCGCCCGTCCAGGCCCGCTCGGTTGTGAAGGAAAAGAAGAAGAAGGTCAAGAAGAAGCTCCCGCCTGACTCCTGCGCCGACGTCCTCCCCACCTTGGCCTCGGTGGATATCAAGACGCGGTCGGTTCCTGCTGGCCTGGACTCGTTCGACATCTCGGACCCGCTGGTGCTGGTCCCTGCGTGCGAGATCCCAATTTCCACGCCAGTGGACTACGCGTCCTTCGACATCTCGGACACGCAGATCAAGGGCTCGAACAATTGCGACAGAGACGTTCAGGTCCTGGAGAACACTCGTTCCTACACGGGGGCGAACGACTCCCAGAAGCCTGGGGAGGTGCTGAAGGACGCTGAGGGGCAGGTCGTGAAGCTGGACGCGATAGAGCCTGGTCTGGTCGTCCGCAGGGCCTCGTGGCTGCAATCCTCGCTCAGTATGGCGGCAACCTCTCCAAGGAGCAGATGACGAAGTATGTCAGCGAGGCCTTCCTTCATCAAGCCAGGCTCGGCAAGGTTGGCACTCGCTGATCACCACGGCTGCGACCTCAAGGAGGCCGATGTGCAGCGGTGGGAGTACAACCGATGAGCCTGCGGCCAGTCGGTGCGGGGTCCGCGGGTAGTCGTGCTGCTGTGGACCCCTTTGCCCCTTGGGGGCGGCGCGTGGTGCGTAGATAACTGCGCGTCCCGTGGGGGCTGTCCTGGCGCCGTGGGGCGCCGCAAGCACTGTTTGGTGGCCCCTGGATGCGAAGGCTCGTGCTCCTTCGGCGTCCTGGGCTCCCGATCGGATCGTCCTGGCGCGAGGTTCGTGCTCCTCGCGGCCAGGGCTGAGGAAGGACGGGACACGGGTCCCCAGTGACGAACTCCTGGCGAACTCCTCCTCCATCCTCCTCGTCCTCCTCCATTCTCCTCCCCCATCCCCCCCCCCTCCTCCTTCCCCTCCCCCTCCTCCTCCTCCTCCTCCTCCTCCTCCTCCTCCTCTCTTCCTCCTCCTCCTCCTCCTCTCCTCCTCCTCCTCCTCCTCCTCCTCCTCATCCCTTCTTCCTCCTCCACCTCCCTCCTCCTCCTCCTCCATCTCCTCCTCCTCCTCCTCCTCCTCCTCCTCCTCTCCTCCTCCTCCTTCCTCCTGCCTCCCTCCCTCCCACCCGCCCTCACTCCCTCCCACCCGCCCTCCCCCCTCCCCCTCCTCCCCCTCCTCCTCCTCCTCTTCCTCCTCCTCCTCCTCCTCCTCCTCCTCCTCATCCTTATCCTTCTTCTCCTCCACCTCCTCCTCCCCTCCTCCCTCTCCTCCTCCTCCTCCTCCTCCTCCTCCTCCTCCTCCTTCCCTCCTGCCTCCCTCCCTCCCTCCCTCCACCCGCCCTCCCTCCCTCCCACCCGCCTCCCTCCCTCCCCCTCCTCCTCCTTCCTCCTCCTCCTCCTCCTCCTCCTTGTCCTCCTCCTCTTCCTGAAGAAGTTTCGCCCTGGACTCCAGGGGAACTCCCAGGCACCAGCTGCTCATCCGATGTTCGCTCTGGTTCGAAGAGCAAAGAACGGCATGAACCTAAACTGTTGGCGGTCCGCGCGGATTTCCTTGATCGGCGCTGGGCCCCTCTGGCGGCGCCTCCGGCGCCGCCCCTGGTGCGCTCCGCGCGCCAGTGAGGGGGGGCCCAGCTCAGATCCAAGAAGTCCGCGCGGGCCGTTAGAAGTTTATGTGTGTGTGCTGTTTTGTTATTCCTCTCCTGGGGGCGTCCCCCAGAGTCTTGGGAGCGGGCCCGAGGTGCCGAAGACGGCGGGCGGCAAAGTTTAGGGGAGAGTAACGGGCAATGTAGGGGTGGGCTCGGTAGCAAGTCGTGGGAGCCTGGTATACCCTCTGAACTCCGTCTTTAGCGCCGATTGACGTTTTTTAGCGTTTGGGGTTCGATGAGACAGCGCCGATTTAGCGTCGGCTAGCGTCGTTTCAGCATCGACTTAGCGTCGATGTAGCGTCGATGAGCGCCGATTCGCCACAGCCGACAAGATGGCATGGGAGGCTCCCATGGGTTGCCACCGCGGGGGGGGCTCCCACTGGCGGTGCATGTCGCCCATCCACCGCCCGACGGGGGCGCACGCCCCGCCCAGGACCGCGCGGGTTCCCTGTCGCAGGCCTGTCGCCGACCCGTCGGCGCCGAGACTCTCCGATTCCAGCTCGAGCTTTCCCCCCCCCGGAGCCGGTCGCCTGTCGCTGCCCTCGGGCCAGTCCTGAGCCCAGGAGCGCCCTGGCCCCGAGTCTTTGTGGACATGAGTGATAGCTGGGCGAGCCTCTCGACTGGACATGGCAGAGGCTTTCTCTCTCTCTCTCTCTCTTGTTCCTCGTGGACTTTCTATTGTCGGATGCTGGGTGGGACGTCAGCGGTCGTCTACTGCTCAGACTTGTCCAGCTTCGTAACCCACGATCGGTTGTTCCTGCTGTACATCTACGGCGCCCTGGCCCTGGGTCGGTGTGGGTGTGCTGCTGGGCGCCTCAGGAGGAGGAGGAAGGGAGGAAGGGAGGAAGAGAGGAAGGGAGGAAGGGAGGAAGGGAGGAGGAGGCACTGTCCGCTCTTCGGTTTAGGCGCGACTTGCACGCGAAGGATGTCTCGCGCGGGATCGCAACTGTCTGGCGGCGCGACATGGGGCCGCAAAACAGTGCGCGATGAAGTCTCACGCGAAAGCGATACGTTCTTGCGGCATGGACGGCGTCCACAAACAAGGTCTTGAGGAAGTCTCAAACGAAACTGTAGTTCTCTGGCGACTGGAGGTGGGGCGGGAAACCTGGTGGCGAGACAGTCCCGCACGGAATCGCCACTCTCCGGTCGCTGGAGAAGCTCTCCGGACGGACCGACATGTGATTCGGTTGGTTCTGCTTCCGCCTGCTTCCGCGACCGCCCCGCCGCCCTCGGCCGAGGTGGGCGAGCGACCCCTTCGAGGCCTCACATATGAAACAACACACAGTCTGTATGTGTTTTTCTCCACGGTGTGTGTTTTTGTGTGTGTGTGTGTGTTTCCCCACAGTGTGTTTTTTTTTGTGTGTGTACGTGTGTGCGTGTGACAGTGAGTGACAGTGTGTGACAGTGTGTGACACAGTGTGTGACAGTGTGTGTGTGTGTGACAGTGTGACAGTGTGACAGTGTGTGTGTGTGTGACAGTGTGTGTGTGTGTGTGACAGTGTGTGTGTGTGTGTGTGACAGTGTGTGTGTGACAGTGTGTGTGTGTGACAGTGTGTGTGTGTGTGTGACAGTGTGTGTGACAGTGTGTGTGTGTGTGACAGTGTGTGTGTGTGTGACAGTGTGTGTGACAGTGTGTGTGACAGTGTGTGTGTGTGAGAGTGTGTGTGAGAGTGTGTGTGAGAGTGTGTGTGAGAGTGTGTGTGAGAGTGTGTGTGAGAGTGTGTGTGAGAGTGTGTGTGTGAGAGTGTGTGTGAGAGTGTGTGTGAGAGTGTGTGTGAGAGTGTGTGTGAGTGTGTGTGTGTGCGTGTGTGTGTGCGTGTGTGTGTGCGTGTGCGTGTGTGTGTGTGCGTGTGCGTGTGCGTGTGCGTGTGCGTGTGCGTGTGCGTGTGCGTGTGCGTGTGCGTGTGTGTGTGTGCGTGTGTGTGTGTGTTTTTTCCCCACGTGTGCGTTTTTTCCCCACGGTGTGTTTTTTTCC